TAAATAAATCTTTACAAAACATAATAAAGTCTCAAAATATTAACTTCGTAGTTTAGCCCAACCCTTCCGATGTGTGATGTTCCAATGACAGCATCTCACCTGTTACCTGCAAAAACATTAAAAACAATGGGGTGAGCACTAATTGCTCAGTAAGTAAACCCGCTATGCTATCATTCTCTCTTCGTTGCTTAAATTCTGAATTTCTTTCTTTACTTCACATTTCTCCATTCTTCTCTATTCTTTCTCTACTCTTACTCTGTTTTTCTCTCTGTTCTTTCTCTGTTCTAATTTCCCACTACTCAGATAATGGGCATGGTATTATGTTTATATATAATGCAAATGCACAAATGTATCAAATATGAATTTTCTTTTCTATATTTCTTATTTTGTTTTCTGTTTCTTTTTTCTGTATTTCTTTTTTTGCTTCCTTTTCTAGTCTTTCTCTCTTTCTTTTCTTTTCTTTTCTTTGCTTTTCTTTCTTATTCTTTTGCCGATTGGACTCGGTTGAGGCATGGATTTGGAACCTTGGCCGTGTGAGTGTATTCTTCTTTCTTAGGTACATACCTCATCCACATGCACTCTTACGAACTATATCAATTCTTCTTTCTTATTCTTAGGCCGCTCACTAAAGGCGGCGTGCATGTGGGGAAAATTCTTCTTGTCACTCACGGGTTCCCCATCGCAACAACATTTTCTTCTTTTTATCTTTTTACTCTTCTTTAAATAAAATTCAGATTTGAACTTCTTTAATATTCTCATTTCTTTCTATTTACTCTTTAACATTCTTTAGTTCTTTTTCATGCTCTTATGAGTATGTATGCATGTAGATGGTTTCATGCTTATATTTCTTCCTAAATTCACATGTTTAGATGAAATAATGCAATATGGAATGCTAACATGTCATTCTCTACCATCTACAAACTCATCTCAATATAACACATAATCATAATCATACTCATACAAATACTTCTCTTTGATATTTCATCAAACAACTTATGTGCACAAAGTAACTCTAATTTGGCTACACTTCTATCTCTTTTCTAGGCCACCAAAAATTGGGAATAAAACCCTCAATATTTAACGCCAAACTTGTCCAAAATATACACTCCAAAATTTCCACTCTAATTCTTCCAAACTTCACCCAAACATTCATCAAACATCAAATACACCAACACAACTTCTCATGGATAAGTTATAATCATCATTCAATACCAAATCCATTAACAATTCTTCATATAAAACATATATATGCATAAAAGAAAATTCTCTACATAATATTACTTAAATCATACTTAGGGTAGGATTTACTTACCTTATATGTGAGCAATCCAACACTTTAAAAATCTTCTTTGATCCAATTCTCTTTCTCTTAAATCATATGAACATAAATCATCAAAATTCAACACTTCAAAAATTAAAACTCACATCTTAGTGCAAGGATCTTACCTAAGGATACTTGGGATTGAAAATTCACTCAAAAGTACCCAAAATCTATGAATTTCCCTTGAAGAAGAATTAAAGAAATTGAGAGAATATGAGGGTGAAGGTGGCGTGAAAATGGATGAAGAGTGACTAGGGTTTCACTCTTCAATCCTTGATATAACATACTATTATATATAGTTTCCCATTTTGCCCTTGCACTTTCTTTAAAATTTTATCTATGTCCCTTAGTCAATTACCATAATGCCCTCATTTTATTACATTCTCCATGAAATTCTAACTCTTTTCACTCCCCACAATTTCAACTAATTTTGAGTGAAAAGACTATTTTACCCCTAATGAAATTTTAAGGCATTTTCTTCACATTTTCTCAAAATAACTTTAATAAAAATCAACTAAGGGTATAAGGGCATAAGTTAAGTTACGTACCTCAATATGGACGTTACAATCACTTGATGTGAACAAAGATCCTTTTAAGCCAACAGAAAATAAAGAAGAGGTACTTGGTCATGAAGTACTATACCTAAGTGCAATAGGTGCATTAATGTATCTTACTAACAATACACGACCAGATATAACATTTTTAGTAAATTTGTTAGCAAGATATAGTTGTGCTCCGACACGAAGGTATTAGAACGAAATTAAGCATATATTCCGATATCTTCAAGGAACAATAGATATGTGTTTATTTTATTCAAATGAATCTACAGCTCAATTAATTGGTTATATAGATGCAAGATATTTATCTGACCCACATAAAGCTAGATCTCAAACAAGCTATTTGTTCACATATGGAGGTACGGCTATTTCATGGCATTCTACAAAACAAGCTATAGTTGCTACTTCTTCAAACCATGCTGAGATAATAGATATCCATGAAGCAAGCCGAGAATGTGTTTGGCTCAAATCAATAACCCAACATATTCAAGAATCATGTGGCATTGATTACAACAAAGAAGTTCCTATAACATTATATGAAGATAATACTGTATGCATAGCTCAATTAAAGAGAGGTTATATCAAAGGTGATAAGATGAAACATATATCACCAAAATTCTTCTTCACTAATGATTTTCAAAAGAATGGCAATATTGAAGTTAAACAAATTTGGTCATGTGATAATCTGGTAGACTTATTCACTAAAACTTTACCAACTGCAACATTTGAAAAGTTGGTATACAATATTGGAATGGATCGGTATAAAAATCTTAAGTGATATCATCAAGAGGGGGAGTAAATATGCACTATACTCTTTTTCCCTTGACCAAGGTTTTATCCAATTGGGTTTTCCTGGTAAGATTTTTAATGAGACAGTTTCTAAATGCATATAATACACAAGAATAATGTACTCTTTTTCCTTCACTAGGTTTATTGGGTTTTTTCCTAGTAAGGTTTTAACGAGGCATATTCTTTGTGTAATGAACATCCAAGGGGGAGTGTTATGAATAAATGTGGATGTCCCTTGCAATTCTATAACTTCCTAGTCTTTCATCTTCTCTAACTCTTAAACCTTTCAAGTTCTACAACTTCAAAGCATTTTATTAACTTTTAATTTCATTTATAATATTTCATAATCTTAAGACTATAAATAGATGTATTGTGAAAGATGATGTACACTCAACTTTAGAATAAGAAAAGCATTGGTTCTATTTCCCCTCAATTATCTTCTCTCTTCTTATAGCTTATTTTATTATATGAACAAGCTTTTGTATTTCTTAAGACTTTATGAAATTTTTAAAAAACTCTTTCAAACCTCTATACTTGTGTTTTCATCTTTCTCTTTTACAATTTAGTTTAAGTAAATCACGGTAGAAGATATCATTTGCTTATTGAATAAAAAATTCATTCACTTTTCAATAAACTAAACAACTAAAAACTACAATAAAGATTTCTTTTAGATAAATCCTCATCTTAATTTGCTTCTTTCTCATTCATACCACAAGGGAATGAAATTATGATACTTTATTCCCTTGTTTACTTATTGAAATTGAGTCAAAAATGAAATTTCTATACATAGTCAATTTCATAAGAACATGATAAAGGATTCCTTCAAATTTTGTAAGGTATCCTAATTCTTTGAGTGGGAAACTAATTTTTTTTTTCTTTTCAAGATTTTAATTTCTATATTTACTATTTTACAATTTAGTTATTATTAAAATATATATTTATAAATATTGACATTTGTTGAATAATTAACCAATGTTGATCATCTTTGACTGTGTTAACTAAGAGTTGACAACTTTTGATCAGCATTGATCGATGGTTGACAAATAATTGACCACCTTTGACTAGTTTTGATCGAGGTTGATTGGACGTTAACCAGCATTGATCGTCAACTGACCACCAACATTCGTTGTCTTTGACCAGTTGTTGAACAAGATTGACCACCATTTAAATTTTGATTTCTTAGTTAAAATATCTCTTGCTAAAATAAAAAATAAAGGATTTAAAAATATAGTATTAATCTTTTATATTGTATACATAATTAGTTTTTTTTTTTTTTTTAAATGTAATCACAATTTTTTACCTTACATTGAATATTTTCATGTTGAGGACATTTTTGTCACTTATCACATATATCATTTCATTCCCTCAATATTCAATCTTATAAGTAAACAATAGAATCATAATTCATTCCATCATTTATTCACTATACGAATATCTATCCTATTTCATTCCCTTTCCCGTCCCTTTCAATACGATTCCAAAAAGTAAATATAACCTATGAGAGAAGATTTGTAAGTTAAAAAGATAAGGAAAAGGATAATTTTGAAATAAATTAAAATCCATTTGAATTTAAATTTTCTAATCAATTTTTGGGCTTACGAAAAAGTTTGAGTGAGTCTTGAGTAACACTCTCTTTGGCTAATGGACTTGATTAGATCCAATTGACTAACTTTATTGCCAAGTTATGTACTCTCATTTTACTTTTAGCCTCCTCATTTTCATTTTTCACCTCGTTTTTTAATTTTTTTTTTTTTTTTTTTTTTTTTTTTTTTTTTTTTTTTTTTTTTTTTTTTTTTAACAATTTGGCTTTAATTTAAATTACTTTAAATAATATTATGATTTTTAAATACATTTATATTTTATTATATATATATTTATTATTATTTTTAACATTTAATCTTACATAAACCTTGATACTATATTTTCATAACTTAATCCCAAATTTTTATAATTATTGAAACTTTTTGTTTTATTTTAAATATTTGTTTGTTTGATTAAAATATAATATTAAAACTATGAAAAATTAATGGGATGAATCTCAATCTAAAAAATAGAAAATAAGTTGAAGTTAGGAAATTAAGAAAAAAAAACGTGTAAAAAAAAATCTAATTAAATTTGAATTGAAAAAAATTATGTAAAACCAAAAACCTAATTAAGCTTTAAATTAGAGATAATAAATTAATTAAGCTTAAAAAAATTATTTTCGACATTAAAAAGTGTTTAAAGAAATTTTTGCTAGTAAGAGATCCATCAGATGGGTTTGAAAATGACTTCCCATTTCTATAAATCATAGAATACCAATCTGCCGATAATTAGCCCAACACAACACCCATCTTTTTCTCCACGTTAACACCCCATCAGCGGAGGCACCTAATCCCGTTGGGGCATTTAGCCATGTTTTAAGACGGGGAAACGCTACTGCGTTTTTGGTAGATGATGGTGGGTTAAACTTGGAAAAGATTCATTAGAAAAAAGAATGCTTAAGCAGGCCTTTCAAAGTGTGAAGAGAGCAGTGACGACAAGTGCAAATGCGGCAAAGGAGAAAGTGGATTGTGTGGTGATAGGGGCGGGCGTGGTGGGAATTGCAATTGCAAGAGAGCTAGCCTTAAAGGGAAGAGAAGTTTTGGTTCTTGACTCAGCTCCCACATTCGGCACCGGCACCAGTTCTCGCAACAGTGAAGTCATTCACGCTGGCATCTATTACCCTCAAAATTCTCTAAAGGTTCGTCAAATTCCATTCTTTTTTCTTTTTTAATTATTTCAGATTCTAGGTAATCGTTAAAATTAAATTTTGGAATTTTTGTTTTTCCTGCGGCATTATCCATCGATCTTGACTGATATGAGAATAATGAGTTGATATTTTGAGTTTTAGGTTTATTTATTGTTTGTAATATGAGAATTTCCTTTTTTTCAAATTAGGCAGGTCTACCTATAATTAGGTTGATCTTTATAGAAGCCAATGAAATTTATCCTTGTAGCAGTACGAGAAAAAAGTTCTTTCTTCCTAAGAAGCCCGCTCACATGAAAATATCACTTTCTTATTAGTGGTATATGATCTTTAACTTCTGTTAGAAGAAATTTTGGCAGGAGTAATATTGCAATGAGGGCAGTATTAGTGGAATAGTGACTTTCTAACAAAATTGACCGGTAGGCTCTTACAAATGAAGAAATAGAAACATACAAGACATGTTTAAATCAAATGCGGTCTTAAAGTCCACATTTCAACTTTCTTAGATGGTTTGTTAGTGCATAGTAAGTTTAATGATGATTTGACCTCCCGGAGAAATGGTGGTGCTTCTATAAGGATACACTCTAATTTTAATGTGTAATGAATACTGTATATTTCAAAATATACAATTTTAAATTGGAAAATTCAAGTTAGAGAGTGATTTATAAGTAAGAGCACTCCAAGTGTGTGGTTTTAGGGAAACTTAGTGGGCTCTCATGTGCATGAGACCAAGCACATATGGCCAATTTTAGTAATTGATCTATAAACCAAGAAACCGGATGTGTGCATATGAGAGGTCACCCACAGAGGATGTAAATCCCACCCAAATGGGCCCCGTGTGGGTGTAGGATTAGAAATGAAAGGGTTTAGTGAATCATTTCTACATAAATGATAAAACAACAAAGAAAATGGTGTATGTTTGGTTTTAATTGCGGAATTATGGTAAAATAACAGAGTATGAAAAACTAATAAGTGGGCAAGTTTTTGTCTATTTAGAAAACGTTTGCTAACCCGATCTATTAATACTATTAATAGTCTAGGAGATTGATAGCCAATCCCCTTATCATGTTGTTATCACAACACTAGTTTTGGGTAATAACCGTTGAAAAATTGAATTGACTTTATGTTGATGTTTGAAATTCAATTGTATATACGTCCAATCAAATAATTTAATTCAGCTTTAAATTAGTTGGATAATTCAATCTCAATTCAAAGTCAATTCATTCAAAAATATGTTTAAAATTATGTAACCGGATCAAACCTACACCCAAAACGAGGCCTACTTAGGCAAATTTGCACCATCACGTGCTCTATTAATAGGGTGCACTAATCCCATTAATGATTTATTGACCAATTTTTAAAATTAGACTTGAATCGTTTGATCTCATGCACATGAGAGTCTATTAAGTTTCCACTTTACCATATTTTTTAAGAGCTTTTGCTTATATATCACTCACAGCTTGTTTCATTTTCAATGTGGAATAGTGTATTTTGAAATACAATCTTTACATATTAGTAGCAATTCTTCAACCTCATATTGTGAGTATGCTTATTCAAGAATTGGGTCATTGTAACTTGTAGGTTGTTGCATTGTCTATTGTTGCACTTGCAGGCCTTTAATTGTTGTTGGTGCTTTTCATGTTCGTTATAAACAAGGTTTTGTTAAGTTTCTATTATAATTGTTTTTGTTTTTTGTTACGGTCTTTCTATGCATTGCATTTCACCAATGTCATGTTTCTATCTCTTTGTGCTGTTGTTTGCATTTTTGCTTTGGTTGGTGGTTATACAATAGTTAACTATTTAGTATATATACACTCTGAGGTGCAAAAACTTAGAATTACCACAACGAGGTTACAATGGTGATAAGATAATGATGAGAAAAGAACTAGCATAACTGATGGGAACAAAATTTGTATTCATACTTAAAGAAAATGGAACAACTGTTGAATGCTGAAAGCGCTATGCTTGTCCCTTTTTTATGATGCAATTAATAAACACTTGTTTCTATCCCATATAATTAATAACTACCCTTTGAAATTTAAAGTCAATTTACCAACAGGCTAACTAATTTGATAATCTGAATATTCTTTTTTATGTTAATTTGATAATCTAAATGTACAAGGTGGGTAAACCTGCACCACATTCAAAAACATTCAGGTGGAATTGCACTTGTTTGGCACTCCATTTATCACATGAACTCACTCGATAACTAGTTATTCGATTGATTTTCTCAAATTAGCTTGGTCTTGTGCATGTTGAAGCTGTTATTTTTTGCTTGTTTCCATGCCTAAGAAAGCTCTATCTATAGCTTTCTAGGAAGCCTTTCCTTTCAATATGTGATTTGGTGTTTTGAAATACACCACTTTCTTTTGACAATAAATATCAGCTATGTTTGCTGCCTCCAGAATCAACAACCAATCTTTAATTTATGCGTCAACCATGTTTACATATGAGACTATAACAACTAGAATGACCTTATGTTCTTCAACCAAGCTGGACGTAGAAGGGTTTTGATCTCCCTTCTATTATTGGTTTCTACACCACTTGTTATTCATTCTCTGCTTGACACTTCAAAAATTGAAGCTTTCAACGACAATCACTTCAATGCCATTGATGATGGCAATTGACTGATTGAGAATTGGATGTTCTTAACATTGTTGAACACCTTGCAACAACAATACCTTATTCAAATCTAGAAACTTATCAGTAAAAATTAAACAATAGAAAACTTTTAACAAGATATGTCATGGTGCCATTCTTAGAACTTAATCGAATGAATTAATTCTCATTTGAAGATTTGACACCTGCTTACGAAGAAATATGTCTAGGAGATGCAAGATCTCCAATGTATGCATCATATACAATCTTACGTTGAACAGAAAAAGCTTTCCAGAGTGGCTTATGTAAAAAGGCCTTTCTGAGGTGTAGTAACAAGGAAAGCATAGTTGGCTCCCACCAATAAAAAACCAAGCATGCCCAAGCAAATTTTAAAAAAATCTATCAAGAAAGTCATTTACTAACTGCATGCTTTCAATAAGTATAGGAAAAGGAGTTTGCAAATTCACTCAAATGAGGCTTGTATGTGGTGTGGACTTGGTCACTTTTACAATTTAATTACTCTGCATTTGCTAATTATTACTGTTTGAATTCAAATAGTATTATTAGATTATCATGTTAGGACATATGGCATTGGTTCAGTTCTAATCAAATCAATATCTTTAGATCATTTGAATTCAAAAAAACTAGATTGTTAAATTCATAGTAATAATCTTGGTGGCAGTTTTAAGTTCTAAATTTGAAATTGTAATTGGTGATTCCTGGGATAATGGGGGTTAGTGTTTGCTGATGGGAAGGTACAAAACTTTATTCTTTGCCTTGTAAAAAGGGGTGAGGAAAATGCTTTCTACTTTCATCATTGAGCCTTTGTATTTTTTTATTTTTTTTTCATTTATTGTTGCACGGATACTACTTTTGATCTTATCAATTTTGCTAGTTCTTATTCAGTCATTTTTTAGATTCCAGTGTTACACGGTCATGTTAGCCCATCGTTGTATATCAATAAAAAAGGTCATTTTGTTATTCTAAGCTTCTATATTTAAGAATACATCCTTACAAAACTCTGTCATGGTATCTTAGAGGTTCGACCATTGCTAAACTTATCCTGCACTAGGAATTTATTCTAGAGGTGCGTAATTCGATATTTAGGACAGTATATGATGTCATATTCCTTCACAATATGCCTTTAGAATTTTTTTTTTTCTATAACTGCTTATTGGTAAATTTTGTTTTGAAAAATCAATGTTTCACTACTATTGAAATTCTAGTTAATGTCCTTGCCACAACACTGCTCCTGCCACAATCTTGCTGCAGGGTAATAACATTTTTCCTAACAACCTCAATTTGTTGTCACATTTAAAAATATTCTTTCATTATCTTCCTGGTGATCCCAGAAAGTTCAGTCATGAAAGTAGAAAGTTACCTTGCTGATAAGTGATGCCCTTATTTATTTGCTTGTATGCTTTAAGTGTCACTCATTGTACATTCTATGTGTGACTCTCTTGATATTTTATTTTTGAGGGCAGTGAATTCTGTTATGGTTACTTTCTTTTATTTCTCAGATGTTCTTTGCTTTTCATATTTTTATATTTGCTCGCATGTTCTTGGGTTGTACTTTTCGTTGCTTTTGAAAATTACTTATCAAAATAAAATGAAAAAAACGTGTATACTTTGATGAAATATAAAGTCAACCTGGTATTGTAGGCAATGTTCTGTGTAAGGGGAAGAAAATTGTTATACAAGTACTGCTCCGAACACGAGGTTCCTCATAAACAGATTGGCAAACTCATAGTTGCTACTGGACCTCTGGAGATTCCAAAGTTGAACAAACTGTTGAAGTGTGGAACTCAAAATGGTGTTGATGGCCTCAGGATGTTGGAGGGTTTTGAAGCCATGAAAATGGAACCTGAATTGCAATGTGTGAAAGCCTTACTATCACCTGCTTCTGGGATTGTTGATAGTCATTCCCTAATGCTATCTTTAGTGGTATGCATTGCCATTTTTCTTGTACCCTATGATAACTAGAAATAGTAAATTTCATGCTTGAATATAACGTTAATATATTTGTTCCAGCGAACTTTTGTCTTATGCTTCATTTATCTCTATAAGTTATGACTGCATATTGACAGGGATATTACCCCAATGTGGGTCCAGGGGGAAGCTGAAAATAGAAGAACTACTTTCTCGTACAATACTACAGTCATTGGTGGCCATCATCAAGGAAATTGTATGCACCTATATGTATCTGAAAGCAAAAATGTTGGAAACTGGAATGGGCAATCATCATTGCAATCAGAGCTGATTCTTATTCCTAGGTTTGTAGTAAACTCTGCAGGCCTGAGTGCCCTGGCCCTTGCAAAGAGATTTGTTGGTCTGAAAAGTAGTGTTATTCCTCCTGCATATTATGCTCGTGGTTGCTACTTTACCCTTGCAAATACTAAGGTCATTCCTTTCAAACATTTGATATATCCTATACCGGAGGATGGTGGCCTTGGGGTGCATGTTACGCTGGATTTGGATGGCCAGGTCAAGTTTGGCCCAGATGTTGAGTGGATTGATGGCATAGATGACATATGTAGCTTCATGAATAAGTACTCTTTCTTTAGCCCCTTGATCTTATTCTCCGTCATTTATGACTTATTGCATGGTTGAGTATTATGATTTTTCATATTAGCAGTTCTTACTTCATCATACATGATGGTAGCATGTTGTATGGGAGAGATTTTGCTGCAGATATCTTCTAGTTTGAATTTGCAGCAGCAGATAACTGTGAAATTCTTAGCACTTTTATTTTTTAATGTTATGTCTATTGTCAAGCAGCTATACTTGTGCCACTCTCCAGAGAATGCCTTTACGATTCTGAAATGATGTTCATTTTTCTGACATTCTTTTATAAATCAATGATGCTTTGTTTAGAAATTTAACTCATTAAGGCCTCTATTCCAGGTTTGACTACTCTGTAAATGTAAATCGTGCTGAAAGATTTTATCCAGAGATTAGAAAGTACTACCCGAAACTGAGCGATGGAGCTTTAGAGCCAGGTTATGCAGGGATTCGACCAAAACTTTCAGGACCTGGACAACCTCCTGTTGATTTTGTAATACAGGTAATTCTTGGAAACTCCCTTGTATGTGAACTACTGAATTTAACATATAAGTTGTCCAATCATATATCCTGGATTGTACAATTGGTTCTAAAATGCATGTTTGCACAAAATTATGAGCTGGAATGACATAATTACTACCTATTTTACATAAAACTTTCATGTAATCTTATCCCAAATACCACAAACCAGCCTCAGTGGTATCTAGGCCATTTTTTTTTTTGCCGAATATGCTACAGTTACTTAATTAATGCATCTTGCCATTTTGATTTGAGCAGAAAATAGGTGAAACCAGGGGCTGGGATTGTAACTAAAACTCAATATGGTGAATGACAAATTGCCAATTCCTTGATTCTAGAAACCGGAACTAGAGTCTGGAGGCAGGCGACGTATATGAATTTTGTGATACATCAGTAGTCTTGCTATTTGACAGGCTTTAAATATATATTCTTGTTTATTATTTTTAGTTCTTTATTTTTAATTTCTATTGATTTTCTTGAAAATTGTGGAACATGAACCTCAGTGCTTGTGCTTCAAATCTTACAACTGATGGTTCTAGATATCTAAATCCATTGCCAGATGCCTTCTTCCTAGAATTCATTAGTCCCAAATTTGATGCTGCCTGGTGGTGATATGCCCTAAATCTGAGGTCAATTTCAGATGTTTGAAGATGGATACAAGCAATGATTATATACATAAAGTATGAACTTAGACTGAATGAAATGACACTTGTATTTAAAAAAAAATAAAAAAATAAAAAAATAAAAAAAAAATAAAAACCTTTTAGGAAGATTCATGATTATATGATAAAAATAACAGAATGGGCTGTTGAAATCTGGCCACACAAGAGACTTAACATGTTAGCTTTAGTTATGTAATTTTACTACATTGCTTTTGTGATCGATTCCTACAGTTATATTGAAGTATGGTATCATAAGCTGCTTGCGCTTGACCAAATCTATAACCTTCATTAGTAGATCCATGGTGTCCTTAATCAAACTAGGGGCAGTGCTGGTATGATAAGTTCACAACAAATTCCCTAAATGGAACAGTGTGAAGTCGGTTCATAATCTTATTAGTGTTAGAAATTATGGGTTGCCTGGTTGAATTTCACTGTCATAACATTTCTTCAAATTTTGCAAATTAGAAGAAGTTAGGTTCAGCCGGTGAAGCTCTGCTCATATAGCTGAAACAAAAAAACAATTCTAGTTAATTGAAACGCAAGTTTGAATGTAGCTTAGGACTGGGTTTGGATTTAATATATGTAATAACGTTGTTATATTTTCTTAGTGTTTCTTTATGATAGGGGAGTTGGATTTCCCAACATTGTTTTTCAACTAGTGTTGACATGAATGACAAGCATTACTTTCTTACAGGGAGAGGAGAGTCATGGGGTGCCTGGTCTTGTAAACCTTTTTGGAATTGAATCACCTGGTCTAACATCAAGCATAGCAATTGCAGAATATATAGCTGCCAGATTCTTGAGATGATGTAGGTATTAATGTTGTTTGCCCACATGAGTAATAATTTATGAGTACTCAAAACACTTATTGAGAAAACTTGGGATGTAAGATGCTTCGTCTTTCTTCCTTTGTTAAATCTTCTTCAGGTGTATCATGTGAACCATATCTATTGACAGTGAGTGATATGTTTTTAGTTTTCACTTGCCCTTTTCAAGGTAAATTAGCTTTCTATTTAGACAACATTTTCATCTTCATCTGGTTCATAAGTTGTAAATACAGTTGTATTATTGAACCCATTTTTGAGTTTTGCATCACTTGTTCTCTTTCTTGTTTAATTATCTTTTCCAGATTGAGAATGTCATAACCATACCTGCTGTGCGGAGGAAGAGGAAGGCTGCAACACAAGTGATATCTTGAAAAAGTAAATATATTCATCATATCATTGAGAGTCAAGATGACAGAGATGTCATATTTCAAATTTAGCTATGGTATTAAGATTGCAAAATAGTAGCACTTTGGTGAGATCTTCCTAAATGATAACCAACCATGAGAATTTTAAATCTGTATCCAAGTTCATGTACCATCGTCCTCCTACTCAACCACAACAGCACAACTTAGATGCTTTTCAGCAACACTTGGGTGAGTTATTCCTAAATTACAAGCAAAGCTTATTTTTTATTCTTCAGGCAGTTAATAGAAATTTACACTGTTTTTAAACCCGACCCGAGTCTTGACCCGATCAGGGGCCCGGGTTGATCGGTCCAATCGGTTGGATCAGTGACGTCATTATAATGATGTCACTAAAAATGCAAAACGACGCCGTTTCAAAGAGGGTATTATTGACTTTTCAAAACTTATAAAGAAAATCCTAAATTCCTTACTTTTATTTATTTAAGAAAATCCTAAATTCTTTACTTTTATTTATTTTTCCCATTTCTTTCTCTCTTCTTCTGCCGTCTCCCTTTCTTCTCTCCCTTGCTTCTTTTTTCGATCTACCATGGCTACCGTTTGGACCTCAATGGTGTAGGCTTCGTGGTTGCTTCGCCATGATGTAGATTTCGTGGCTGTTGGATCTATCCACCACGGTGAAAGCTTCATGGCTACTAGATTTCCTTTTTTCCATTTCTTTTTTCTCTTCTGCCATCTTGTTTCTTCTCTCCCTTGCATTTTTTTTTTGGATCTACAATGGCTAGTTGGCTACCTGCGCATCTTGTTGACTTTTTGATATATTTTCCTAAGGTTTTCTCATAAATATTGAATGGGTTGGTGGTTAGACTGTTTGGTATTTGCCGTAATCATTCTTTTCCATCCAACAATCCATGAATTTAAATTTTGAAACATTGGTTGTTACTATAAAATGTTTTGATATGTTTAATGGACATTTAAATTATGATAAAAATTGAAGATGGAGAACTGGAAATTGGAAAAGGGGAAATTGTTTTAGGGATTTTTAGTGACCTGGTTGTGCCACCGGTCCGGTTAAACCGATGGTTTGTCACTATTCAACCGGTCCAAATCCGGTTCATTCCGAGTTAATTGTTAAAAGCGGGTTTAGAAGGTTCCCAAACTGATGTTGATGCTGGCTCCCAATCAAACTGGTTTAACCGACCGATCTGATCCGGGTTTTAAAACAGTAGAAATTTAATAACGTAGAAATCCAACGACAGTTTAAATAAATTGCCCAAAACATTTAAGGATTGCTGTTCACTTGATAACCGAAAGCAAGCAAAAAAGTAAAAGGTGACGGGACTTTTCATAAAGGCTAATTTTCAGAGAGATAGAGAGATGCAATTACAATATACAAACGATATCAGTTGAATATCTGTGTTTGCAACACCAGCATCAAAGCCTAAAATTCAAGCATATAGAAACGTTAAAAGAGCTCATAGCACACTTCTGTACATGGGCCAAATTAGGATGTTGTTATAAAGCATCAGTATTTTGTTTTAAATGCAATTTTTTTGTAAGTTTTGAACCACCAAAATTTTATTTCCTATAGGGCAGAGCAGTAATTCACCAAATTACAACACTTAGAAACCCAAAAATTATACCACAGACACAGTTAACATAGAAAATTTTACTATTGTCAAGCTAGACATAAAAACTACATTGACTACACTTAGACATGGTAATTAATACATCCCACCAACTTGAACTTTTACTTCAACTGCCTAGTCCTAAATCTAATAATTCTCCAAAACATAAATTTAAATCTAATTCACCAAATTCCCTACAAAACATACACTTCTTCACCGTTTTCTTTCTGACCGCCACTTGTATACTGGTCGGGATGTTGGGGATACAATCTCTTCCTCACGGAGCTTGCGTTTCCGACCCTTCTTCTATTCATTAAGAAGAATATTTGTTATCATTGTCAATGTCAAACACAACCACCAAATAGAAAAAAGGAAGTAAAAGATTGTTTTATACCTGTAATTCCTTCTGCAATGCCATATCCATATATAATTTTTCCAACTCTTGTACTCGACTTCTCCTCCCTTCTAGTTCTCTATAGGAAGCAGCAGTCTTCCTGTATATGGAATATGTAAAGTGGAAGACAACAAATAGTTATCACCCAAAAAGAAAAAAGTAGCTAAATCTAGAGTTAAGGACAACTTGTGAACTGAATTAAACATTCAACAAGAATAATTTGTCGGCAGTATGATTTTCTCATTCACATTTCAGAAATCTGGTAACACTTTTAAAACTACAAATAGCCATAAGTTAGGGACCAGCCTCAGAAGGGATCAGGCAGTGGACGATACTAATGTCCAAGAACACATTAAACTTTCATCAGTTACCTCTTAATATGATCAGGAATGTCCTCAGATGCAGGCACAATACCCTTTCTTTCAGATTGAGACTTTATTTGTTTAGCCTCTTCCCTGCACGAAGTACAACAAGAAAGGGATAAAAGGGATCCAAACAAATCATTGACCTAAGAATTCAGTATGTAAGGATCTATAAATTGCTTACTACACTAGAAAATTCTTGTTGAAGGGGAAAAAAATGTAAAAAGAGGGCAAAAAACTAATAACCTAAAATGTTGAGACAGTCCAGAGCAATAAGAATAAATAATAATATGCATACATGATAGAGAACAGATGAAAACAATATCTTCAATAGTAATCCAAGTTTTTCTGCAACTTGACAATCAAAACATTTTCTTGTAACACTGGCTATATTCAAAATCTAGTAACCTTGAGATTTATCATGATTGACTAATTTAGGCATCAGAAAGAACCCAAAGAAATCCATTACAGCAGGTAAAAATGTTAGTTCACGTTTATTTTCAAGAAACAGCTAAGAGTTTCATCCAAAAATTATAGAGAGCAAATGGCTTTTCTTTGGTCTGAACTAGAGGATGAATTTGAAACTGGAATGGCTTGAAGTTTGCAGCTTCAGCCCTTACACTGAAAGCCCATGCTTGGTGGGCGTGACCCTTGAAATATTTGGTTTAGTGGCAACTTAATTTAGAAGAATTCCCAAAAAATAATGACAAAAGTGGGATTTGTAAGCTCACCCAGAGGAAGCCATAATGTTGCTGGAATTCAAAGATACTAAATACTAAATCAATTAAGGCATCAGAATCAATTACAGTACTATTTGCATCATAATTTTGCATCCCATCTCATCACTAAAGTATTTGCAACCTAGCATTTAAATGGGAAAAAAAAAAAGTAATCATCATTCATGCAATCTTTCTTTAATTAAGTAGCCATAGATTTATCAAAAATTAACACTGCATTATAAGGAAAAAAAAAATGTTATTGCTTTAACATATAAACAATGGGTAAGAGAGCACAAACCTGTTTTCGGCATAGTACACATGTCTGTTTGCCGGATTATTATCCAGAGAGTGCAACATGGTAGTTAATTTTTCAATTTTCTGCACCAAACAATATATTTACTTAATAACTGGAAAACAATACCAACACTCATATACACAATCCACTGTAATATAAAAAATATCATTTACATTTTTTTCACTTTGTAGCTTCTGAAGAATATATCCTATATCTTGGGTCTTCATTAACATTAATTCTTCTTGAGTGTATTTGTTTGCCTCACTCCTACAAGACAAAAACTAACCAGTCAAATTAAGTTCGCGAGGGAGGGGGAAAAAGAATTAAAAAACAAAGCCATTGGACATCGGTGTTACTCTGGTCGATGGACTCCACCAACAGTTTTTGTTTTGATCATCTTAAAGTAAAACTCATCTGGATTCCTAAATGCAGCTTTCTCTTTGAGTCTCTGCAATGCAAACACATGAGCAACAACACAGAGCCATGAAGATAACATATGAATAACGAATATGCAGGATCTCAAACTAATAAAAATAGCAACAAAAATCTGAATGGCACCCGTAAAGTCTCCTCTTTCTGGTGATAAGCTTTAGCACGAACAACATAATCCTTATGCTTCTCAAGAAGCCCAAATTTCTTCCTCGAGTGCCTAACAACAAAACAAATATATTTCCATCATAAAACGCCTTCCAATAAATTTTACAAAAACAAAAACAAAAATAAATTGTAAAACTGAGAAAACTCACGGTTGAGCTCGCTCCTTATGAGCCCGTCGAGGAATTGCATTCTTTAGGGATGACATTTTTTAAGAATAATGAAACCGGTCAATCTGCGGAGAATCAAAATTATGAACAAAGTTAAAATAAGACCACAATAATTTAAATTTATTAATGGAAGAGACGCTTAGGAGCCAAAACAATAACAGTATATAATATCAAAAATGAAAATAAATAAAACCGAAAGTCGTTAATTTTATAAGCTGATTTTGAGTTTTTTACATAGAACAGGGAGCGAAAGCAGCGTCGATTCTTGAATCTTGGCGGCGGCCGCAGAAGTTGATGGAGTTGGGGGGATTCACCTAACTGTTAGTTACACAGAGGCAAGAGGAATTCACCGAAAATTAGGGCAAAACCAGTAGTCGAAGTGAAGAAGGAGACGTCGGTCCTTTTTTGAATAGGGTAAATTTTCCCCCAACCCCTGGGTTATGATATTAATTAGTCCTCACGAGTTTGAGAAGTTACACACGCGCCCTACTCTTGTACTCCATCAGACTATCAGAGTGTCAGTTATTATGACGTTGACACTTGGATATAATGACGAAATTCTCCTTTTCCCATGAATATGAAAATAAATCTAGAATACAGATTATTATTTTAAAATTTTAATTGACACTCGTGGCACTAATAAACACCCTTGATGATTAATCAATATATTCATCGAACATTTCCTAAATTTTTTTTTTTTTTTTTTTTTTTGTTGTTTTATTGTAATCTTAATTAAATTATGTAACAAGATTATAATTAAGGAATAATGATGTTTCAAGTAAAAAAATATCTAACAATAATAATATATACAAATAAAATATTACATGTACAATACTATAATTGTGAAATTAATATGCATTTCAACAAGTATAATATAAACTTATCTAACAAATAATTTAAAGTTGAAATTATGTAACACAAATAATTCTCACAAGAGTAACACTAGTCTTACAAAGAGGCATACAAAGAGATAATCTTTACCCTAAAATTATGATGTCTTTCTCTCTCTCTCTTTTTCCATTCTTTAAGGGTGAGATTATCTCTTTGTATGCCTCTTTGTAAGACTAGTGTTACTCTTCTCACAAAATAAAGCATAAACAGAAAAATAATACCAAAAAATTATAAATAAGAAAAAGTTTTGATCAATTAAAATCAACGACAAAAATCTTATATTATGTAAACAATAAAACTTAATAATAATATAACAGAATAAATTTTTAATATAAACAGAATAAAATTTAAGGAAAAAATTTGTTTATATATAAATTATTACACATTACTAAGTTTGGATATTGATTTGGGTTTAAGTATGCCATAACAAGTAATTTGGATTGGATTGTCCAATCTATTGGGTTGGGTATGGTAAGTGTAACCCAAACGAGTTAAAACCTACTATAGAACAGGAACCAATATTCCCATATGGCCATCCTAGCAAAACTTCGATCTGAATTTTTATTTTCCTTTCTTATATTTTAGAGTGGAGGGTATAATACAAAAAAAATCTTTATTAAAAGAAAAAAAACTAAAAATACTTAATTTAATAATTTTGATTCAAAAATGGTTATGAACTCTATATTAAGAATATTTCTTCAATAATAAATTTTAATAATATAAATTAGTATAATATTACATATTCAAACAACATGTTTAATTATGTTTAGATGATTTAAAATATAGATAAATGAAACAAATTAGGGTAACGATATGTCAAACGAATAACACTAGATTTACAAATATTTATACAAATCTATAAATTATGTACAAAGTGAATAAATGAATGTGTGTATGAAATTATATATATATATATATATATATAATAAATGGTCATTAATTATAGATGAATAAGTGTCAAAAATTATTAGTGACTTAGTGTCAATTTGTATACATTAATTTGTTATGTAGCACTATTCTATATCAAAATATAGGGTTGTTAATCATTTGTACGAAAAGTTTATATAATTAATCTGTATATGTAGCTTACTTATTAAAATAATAAAATCACTCCAACAATAAAGAGAAACCCAAAATGAAACTAATCATGTACCATGACATTTTATGTAATAAATTGATTTTTTTTTTTTTTTTTTATCAGGTGTCGAGTCAACTTACGCGTATCTCGACTAATACCCAGGACCTTAAGTTAAAAACCAAATAAACACTCCAGTGGTCACTCTTATTAACAATCAGGAATAATAAATTGAATTTCCATATCCAAATTTTTTTTTTAGTTTGATTTGTTTTTTTTTTTTAAGTGAATTTGACATTGATTTTAAAAATATTTTAATATATTAAATTATACGAAACACAAATTTTATCATTTTTTAAAATATTATTGTTAATCCAAAATTTTGCATTAGAAGGAACTCCCACTTTTGCCCTCTTTATCACAAGCAACATCAACCTGAAAACACAAAACAACATCATCAAAAGTTTATAGTAATTCAAGTCAAGTACTCCATCACAATGGTAAATGAGAGTGTTTAGTCTAATAAGTGGGTGTTTAGAATGTATGGATTCTTATGAGTGTGAGTAGGAGTGAGCATGGGTAAAGGGTAGAACTAGAACTGACTCTAATAGGGTCCGGTTCTGGTTTTGGAAAATTGGAATCGAGAATTCTTGGTTCCGGCTTTGGTTCCAATAGTGCTGGAACTGAGAACCGAAACGGGAACCAAGACTAAATTCTAATTTTTGTAAACTATTAGGGTGTATTTGTAATTTTTTGGGGTATATTTGTCATATTTCAAAAATTAGGGCAATAATTAAAATTTACCCGGGTACCCAGAATCGAAATCTATGTTCCAGATTCTAGTTTTAAGTTTCTAGGAACCGGAATCAGTCGGTTTCGGTTCCAATTCTAAATCTTAGGAACTGGTCGTTTTCAGTTTCAATATCTTCAAAAAGTGTAGAGTACCCGAAACCGATCACCCCTAAGTGTGAGTTTCTAAAATTAAAATCCATCCATTGAAAACGACATCATTTTATCTTCAATTGGAGTGCTCGAGAGGCAAAATTGTTCTTAAGAGTAATGCTACACATACAACTTTTTCTCATAAATTTTGTCTCACAACTTCGATGTGGCAACTTGCAATTGGTCAACCGCAATTTATTAAATGAGACCTAGGTGGGATCCATCACGAGCTGACTAATTGCGAGCTGTCACGTTAGGATTATAAGAGGAAGTTTGTGAGAACATGTTGTGGGTGTAACATTTTCCCTATTCTTAATGGTTTATATGACTTAGACAATATATTTGACATCTAGCCATAACAAAGCCAACAAGATAAATTTTAGATTGAAACCATTCACCAATAACCCATCTTAATAAAAAATACTATATAATTAAAATATAAAACAACAATCTTAGATAATATAATAGCTAAAAGTAAAAAAATAAAACGCTTATTTTCCATTTGTATTTCAACCTAAAAATTATATTACAAATATTTAGATATTAAACTATAACTTAAAATTTTGAATTAATATTATTTTTCAAAATTATTTGTAAGTTATAAGTCAAAAGATTCATATTTTAAAAATATTTTTCTGATAAATTTGTTTAAATAATGAAAGATACTATTAAACATCCCACCAATTATCTTATTAGACTTTATTTATTTATTTTTCTAATTGCATCATTAAAATTATTAAAAAAGACAAGATATAATTTTATGTTATGGAAAAAAATAGAAATACCACCTTTTCCTCTATCTCAAGCGACTGACACGTGTACAAAAATAAAAGATAGAGTGGGCTGTGGGCGTATCAAGCTATCAGCATCAAAAGCTTGACCAACCAAAACTGCCTAACAACCAGTACTAGTGTTTAATCCTTCTTTCTTCTAAAGCTCAACTTTACTACAATTACAATCACACCCTCATCACTAAAACCCTAATCACTACGTTTCCCTCTCTCGCCTTTCCGGTACGATTCTTCTAACTCTCCCTATTTTACTTTCTTAATTTTGTGTTTTCACGGATTGCAACAATTTCTTCAATATCAAACTACTCGCATATATGAGCATGCTTTTGCCGTTTAAATGTATGGGATACTTTTTTTTTTTTTTTTTTTAAAATTTAATTATGAATATTAGTTGTGTAGTTGATCTGGCAAGAGTTGAAATATAATTCTGTATAAGAAATTGAAAATTTTATTTTAAGTTGCAGGATGAATGATTTTAGTGTAGAAATAGAACAAGAATTTTCTTCTTTTTTGTTTTAGAAACTATATACAGTAGATAAAACACATGGCGCTTTTAAAATTTCAGGACATCTGCACTAATTATTGACTATTTGTATATATATGGATTTCTTTTTTCCTATTAATACTTTTCCGATATAATACCAGATGATTTTCTCTCTGTTTCCACGTTGGAAAACAGAACTAAATTTTATTTTTTAAATTGAATGATGAGCGAACCCAATTTGTGTTTCCAAAATTTTGTTTTTTCAATATATGGAAATATTTTTCTCTGTCATTTTGGGATTTGAAAAATAGAAAATAGTTTTAAAAGAGGTACCAAATGCACCGTAAATTTCATGGGAGCTCAAAAAGCAGAATCTTATATTTTTGTTTAAACATTTTTGAATTGTAGTCTATGCAACATGTATCATGTGAAGAAATTTTCAACTGCAAGCTTAGTGCCTCATAAACCTCAAGGTGTTGAACAACTTGAAAATGCAGTAAAAGTTTCAGAGTCTGGTGGCGGGTCTGGGAGGCAGCGGTTGCGGTGGACTTCTGATCTTCATGACCGTTTTGTGGATGCTATTATGCAACTTGGTGGACCAGATAGTGAGTATTTCTATTTAGAACTGTGATAATCTAGCTCTTTATTTTTTTCTCTCCCATTTATTTGTTTCTTCAATTATTATAATAGGTGGCACATGAGAAGCATAAATATGACTCAAGTAAATTAAATTCATATGCTAATTATGATAATAAGTTGTGATGTTAATTATGATTAATAACGTATTATGTAGAATTTGGTATCTGGCCCATGATAATTTTAATGATATGTTCTTTAGCCCTTGATTTCAATAACTAACACTATTGTACTACACTCATTGCACTGCTCCTTTTGCTGCTTCAGGCTACTGTCTCTTCTCTGTGAAATTTGCTAAGAATTGTTTTATTTATTGATTTTTAATGTGAATATTGGGTCAAATGACTGCTTAATGCATGTATAAAGCTCTGTCAGATTGTTAATACTTTGTTTTTCTATTTGTTTATTTCCAATTAAAACTCAACATTGGCAATGTGGTTGTATATTTGGGTTGTTTTGGTTTTTATTTTTTATTCAAGAACTCAAATTATTTTGTGAAATTCGTCGCAGTTTGTTAAAAGTTTAGATCTAAATTATCACGTTTGACTTGGACTAGATTCTTAGCTTCAACCTTAATATACTTTCTGCTGTTAGGAATTTTTATGGAAATTTCAAATGTATAAAGAGTCTGTGTCCATCAGTATCCAACTGAAGGATAGATGTCTTATTTGGATCAGAAGTATTTTTTCTTCTTAATCTGGAAGAGGCTGTCTAAAATTATAAGGTCCTTGAAAAAAATTCAATTTTGTAGAATTGATGCTGTTTATGTGGCCCACATTTGATGACAAAGGTTCTTGGAAGCTATTATTGTTTTTGATGAATCAACACTTTACCTTATTATGTAAAATGTTTGCATAACAATCTTTTCCTATGTATTTAGGGGCAACACCTAAAGGAGTTTTAAAAGTGATGGGTGTACCTGGACTGACCATTTATCATGTGAAGAGCCATTTACAGGTGCAATCATCTGGCTGCCACTAGATATCTGTGTACACAGACATACAAATATTGATGTTGATGTATCTGATTTCTGAAAGCGATTGCAATTTGTCTTCGTTTTTTTGATAGAAGTATCGTCTTGCAAAGTACCTGCCAGAATCTTCTGCTAACGGTAAAGTGTCCCTTTTTCTTCTTACTTATTTTATTATTTCACTAGCTTTTTTTTTTTTTTTTTCTTTTGTTCTTTTGACATTCAAGTTTGTAATTCTGAAGTTGGAGAGACTTCTTTATATTGTAGATTCAGACGAGAATAAAGTCTCTGGAGAGAGCTTGTCTGGCCTGGATACCAATTCCCCGTGCGTAGCTTTGTTTTCTTCTGTAACCGTCGTATCTTCTTACATTCATTGGCCTATGGCTCTCACTTATCATTTCATTTCTAAGATACAGTTTAGAAGATATGACACTTTAAGTGTAACATTTAGTTAAACCATTGTTTTCTCAGGGGAGTGCAAATTAATGAAGCATTGACAATACAAATGGAGCTTCAGAAACGTCTTCATGAGCAGCTTGAGGTTTGATTTCATGCTGTTTTCTTAATGGGATTGGGTAACAATGTCAGAATTATTGAATTAAATAACACAATAATACTAAATGTACAAACAAATCTTATAGAGATTTATGTACTGATGTGACACATTCAAAATGAATGGAAGAATGAATGCAAAAAGTCAAACTCATCATATTCACTTTTACATTCATTTTGTGTCACATCAGTTTCTACACAAATTTTTGTAAAATTTGTTTGTTCATGTAGCATTACTTTTAAATAACATAAACAGGGTTAAGGTCTCTCCTTATGGCACTGGAAGAGGATGTAAAATATACAGATTGGATTATCTTCAGGACGTTTTGCTTGCTTCATGTAAAACAAAACAGTAATAAATTTAGTTTTACTTGTTCTAGGTGCAAAAACAGTTACAAATGAGAATTGAAGCTCAGGGGAAATACTTAGAGAAGATTATTGAGGAGCAGCAGAAAGTCGGAGATGCAGTAAAAGCGTCTGACGCTGTAACATCAGCTGACGATAAGGGAAAACCATCTGAGTTAGAAACTCCTCCTGATGCGCCTGCAGAGTCCTTTTCTTCCTGAAAGAAATGGATGATAAGTGCCTGGTGTCACAAAGTTTATTGAAAGCACCATTCAGGTGGTGAGATTAAAATTGGTATGGTTCTGATGCTAGATCCATTGTGTTGCTTAATATAAGATTCTTCCGTGTGTGTGTGTGTTATTTTTATGTTTGTGTCACTGTTGTTGAAATGCTTGACTTTGTGTATATTGTGAGCTTTTAATCCATTGTAATCATTAATAAAAGTACACATGTAGGTTGTTTTTCTGTTTCTGGTGTAGCAGGCAAGAAAGATTCCCTTTGTAATTCTGTTTAATTATTCAGACCACATTCGGAATGTTCACCACATTTCTTCACAAAGGTTGTTGGACTTCATATGTGAATTCTCTTTTTTCTGCTCACAGTCTTCCTGTCTTCTAGTTTTAATCAATTTGTTTCAAAATAAGGTTCAAGTTCTAGTCTCCATCGCGGGTCTTTGGTGAGATGGTATATCTACGTCCCAAAGGTTGGGTGCAATCAATGTTCCTGCTGGGTATGGGGTCAACCCCTCTTCATACCCATTTTTGTCACAAACAATAATAATAATAGTGAGATCTACTTGAATATTCAGTATAGTTGGTTCACCGATTGTTATGAATCCAAATATTTTTAATTCTTTTTTTTTCTTTTCAAAATGTAATAGTGAAACTAATATTCAAGAAATAATTTATATCGAAAAAATATAAATATTTGCGTTTGCCGGGAGTCGAACCCGGGTCTATTGCTTGGAAGGCAATAATCCTAACCGTTGGACTACAAACGCTCGTGTGGTCTTCTTGAAGTCTAGAACCACTAGTAGTAATGTTCAATTAACAGTAGGACTACAATCGCTTACAAGGTATTTAACATTTAATTACATATTTACTTCATTATGTATTATATTGAATTTTTATTACTGGTTATTTATTAAACCCCTGGAGAAAATTAACAACCCTCAATATTTGAAAAGCATCGGATGCCCCTACCGTCAGTTAAATTTTAGTTTCCTAGCATTATTATTAAATAAAAAGGTCTGTTTTACCGTTTGAACTTTGAATCCTTTACTAAATTCTTTTTCCTATTAACTTATTTGTGAAAGTCTATTTTAACCTTTACATCATTTCATTTCACTATTTTATCATTTCCACCATTTTTTTTAACTTCCATTTTATACTAAACTTTTATTTTATTATGGCTATGCCATTTTAAAAAGTAGTTAATTTTTTTTAATAATAATTTAATTAGAATTACCCTTATTTATCTCATGGGAAATTTTTTAAAAATTCATAAAATTAGTTTATTTTTCTTTTTAATAACAATTTGAATTGAGCAACGGCTAGTTTAGGGTTAATGTAGTTTTAAGTTTAATCAATTTTTGCACAACTTTGAATATAATTAGTTTCAGAAATAATTGTTAATGTGTTTGGTAAATACTACTTCAATAATTGTTGCGATTTTCAAAATCTATGATTATGTGTTTGGTAAATTAGTTTTTGAAATTAATGTTGCATGTATAATGACCAAAAATGACATTTCATTTCTTAAGATATAATTGGCTGTGTTTGGTAGAGTATTGAGAGTATTATTTTTGAAAAAGTTAAGTTGAGTTGTTATTAGGAGAATAAGACTTGAATTTGAAAAGGTGTTTGGTAAATTTTTGGAAAACAATTTCTGAAAATATTTAGATTATTTTTTAATCCCCTAAATTTGTTAATTTAGCTAAACACCCCTACAATAAAAGTTTTAAAATTAACAAAAACACCTCCACCCCCCGTTAAATGCCAACAGCCGATCACCACCACTGAATAGTGGTCGAAAGTCTTCGAAATGGTGTACGACTGACTGGATCTAGCCGGTAGTGCACCAATCTGGCCTTTTCCTACCAGATTCGCCATGGATCTAGCTGTTGACAATGACCATATCTTGGCCGTCGTTAACAATCAGATCTTTGGCCCTAGATCTGATCAAAAAAGGCCAGATTACCGCACACCGGCCACATCCAGTCAGTCATGCACCATTCTGGTAGATTCCAACCACCTTTTGACGGTGGTGGCCGACTGCGGGGAATATGTCGGTAAGTGGGGGTGATTTTGTCAATTTATAAACTTTTATTATTGGAGGTGTTTAGTTAAATTAACAAACCTAGAGAGTTGAAAAAATCTAAATATTTTGAGTTGAATAGAACTGAATTGAATTTTGAGAATATTAAAACAAATATGTGTTTTGGATAAGATAATATTCATAATAGTGAAACAAACACAAGCTAATAATTCTAAATTTTGTGTTTTGATAAGTGTTTAATAAACATTTAAATTGTGCTAAAATTTATAATAAATAATTAATAATTGAAAATTGAAAATTGAAAATTTCGAAATATTGGACTAGTTGGCGTCAATTAACTATCGAGTAAACATCGTTGACCGGTGGTCAATGGTTGTGTGTGAGGGCACAACTAGTACCATCGAGACCGGAGAATCCCAATCTATAGGAATCTAGTAGAAGCACCAGATTTTGTATTGTTTTTTGCTGCAGAAGGTGACGAAAGCTTTGGACACCTCATGTGGCCAGATGAGAGGTCGAAATCCGATGATTCAACCAAATTCCTATAGATTGACAATTTTTGGTTTTGTCTGAACCAATGGTGGCATCAACATGCCACCTTTGGTCGACTTTGACCACTAGTCAACCACTGTTGATAGGCCGTTACCAGTTTATTGTATTTTTTATTTTTTATAAATTAGTAATTTTAATAATTTATTTAAATAAAAAAATGTTTATCTAAGTTAAGTTTGTAATTTAAAGAATTATGTGCAAGTATATTTGTTGTTTTACAATGTAAAATCAGTTTTAGAAATTTTAAAAGCTACCCGTCTTAGCTTTTAGAATATTTTTATAAAATTGATTATTTTATAATCAGTTTGAAACTTAATATATTTTAAAAGAAGCTGTTGATGCCCACTTTTGTCAAGGCAACCCGTAAAGGCTAAAAGCGATTTCAACACCATCTCACACTCCAACAAGATATATTGGACTCATATCCTTAACCCTTTTCGGTAGACCCTGAGCCCAAGCAATTTCGTGGGGTATTTTATTAGGACCAACGTACTTCTTTGACGACCCACTTGGAGGGATTCTAATTGGGTACCTCAGTTGCGAGAAAATTAATGAAAAGCCCAAATCCAAACTGTTTTCAAAAATAATTTTTCTAAAATTAAAAAAAAAAAAATTCTAAAATAGCATATTGTGTGCAATTACATCATTATCCATGCATTTAGCATGCAATTACATATTTCTTTTCCAGTTTTCACTAAAAGCCTAAAATTACAAAAATACCTCTATTTTGACAACTTGCTGACTTTTCAATACAAAGTGGTTTTTGCTAATTTTATATTTTCTAAAATCCTAGAAAAATAAAAAAGCTCTGGAGTTGTATTATATTTTATAAAAATGTTTCTCTGTTAAAAACTTACTGTTTTAGCCTTTCAAGTCCTATCTTTATTTTAATTATTTTCAAAGGATCTTTTTACTATTTTTGAAAAAAAATAATTTTCATACTGGTTTAAAGGTATAAATTCGTTATGATTATTTTTATTTTCTTAAAAGTTGCTAAAAATGCCCTTTTAAAGCCTTTAGTTGGGTAAAATTGTAATTGTAATTTTCTTCTTTTATTTAAATATTTTGTTAAAACCAATATACAATAGAATCTCTCTATAGTGATACTCCATATAGGAATAACCACCATGTAATCGTAAAAAATTTTGGTCCCAACTTGGGTTAGTTATAAATAAAAGTAAATTTCACATTGTAATAAATTATAGTTTTTCTAGATCCTGTCTTAAGGAACTTGTCTGTATATAGTAATAATTGTATGTATATTATAAAAAAAAATATGTTATGTTACATTAAATGTTTAAGATCAAATAAAATATTTATCTAAAGTTGTTTGAGATAATGATTTATTTATGCTTTAGAGTTGTTACCATATCTTTTATCTTGCAGGTACGTAATAAGTTGCCAACACGGACACCTTCTTGTTGAAGCCAAAATATTTTTAACTGCATGTTTGGAGCTTCTTGGCATGCAACTTTTGATATTTCCGTACTATATTCATCCTTAGGATTGTCTCCTTCCTCTTTTTATTTAATCCTAGTAATGATTTTTTCTTCAGTTAAAATATACACGACTTGTTATTTATTTCGATGATTAAGAAAGATATTAATATTCATTTGATTAGTGTAATGAAGTTGTCGTATTGATTACTCAATTTTGTAACGACTCTTTGATATTCATTTCCATATTATCCTAATGCTACTAAATCAATGAATTGAAATCCTAATACTACTAAAACATGAATTATAAAATAAGAAATCAAAACAATAAGTTTTTAGGCAAAACAATAATTCTTGTAACTACACATCTATTAAATTATAACATTCTCATAGTAATAAATTTAGTTAGTTCCAACATTATGACTATAGAGAAGTTTTACTATACAATGTTTATCTTATGATTTTAAAAGATTTACTAATTTATTTTGATGAAAATCCCCTTTTTTTATTTAATTCTATTTTATTGAATATGATTTATCTCATAAAAACTCTTTATTTATATATAATTACCTATTTGATTTTATGTTTTATTAAGGTGAGATAATTATTTAAGTATTAATATCTAAAAATTCATTTTATTAATTAATTTATATATGTAGATAACTATCCGTTTATATTATTTTGTTATTTTATTTTATTATTTTTATATAATAAAAATCCCTTATCTTTTATGATTAATATCCTCTATATTCTAAAATATGTTTTAATTCTTTTCCGGATGAACCTAGACTTTCCTAGGAGTTGCATTCATTCTTATATTGTGATTTATCAAATAGTTTTATTCTTCGTTGATTATTATTAGTATTATGGTTGCATTAATCCATTAACATGCATTATCGTATTTCAGTAGTATAGAAGAGATCATTCACGTGAAGTGAGGGATAAGACACACATAAAACACAAGAACAACCCAAAAATGCCAGACGCCAAACCACACATTGTCGCTATTAATGTGGGAGCTTGAATTTCTTGGTTGATCGGATTCGCAACTCACCACCAGAATCGCCACAAACAAGCTCCGTTAATCCCACAAAATTTCAATCCTGTTTAGAGAAAGAAATCGTAAACTTCTGAGTGCCATAGCCATATTTTCGCATCCTATATAAACAGAAAAAACATCTCCTAAGATCTTCATGCAAACCATATGGTCATACATAACCGCTGGACAATCACTTGCGTTCAAGTTCCAGCCATTACGAGTTCTCTCTAGAACGAGTTTCATCAAGACATGATAGTTTTCCTTTTCCTTTTCTTTGTTTTAAATTCATTAGAACTACTTAGGAATCATTCACTTAACATATTATAATTTAGGTTTATATTTTGAATCACAACTTCAGCTCCTATTCTTTTTCTATGATTATTGAGGCACTTGTTCATATATTACCTCAGTTCACAAACTTCGAGTTGCAAATAAGATACAGTGAAAATTTTAACTTAAACCTTACATTTTAATACTTGAAGATCCATTTTAATATCGGCAACCACAGAACATACTCATAAAGATAATTATACTAAACAAGTAATAAATTATAGTATAGAAGTTTACCTAAGCTAGTAGTGCTAATATCATGATGAAAAAGCTCAGTGGAACCTTAATGTAAAAAAATTGAAAGTATGGTGGATGGAAGTAGTGCAAGATAAATACGAGGATTAAAGAGAGATTGTTTTCTTCTTTGAAGGAATTCAAACACTAATGTAGGGGTGAGTATGGATAGCGAGTAGAACTGGAACCAGAACCTATCAAGAACCGACACTGTGCGAGTAGGTTCCAATAGTAGGTTCCAGTTCTATTTTATTGGAACCAACTTTGTGCCGGTCTGGTTCCAGTTCCTACAGGTTTCGGAACCAGAACCTGGGAAAAGAACTTGAAGTGAGTAGTCGGCTTGGAACCTGTTTGTGTTTTGATTTTGATTGAGAAATTTTATGTGAATTGTGATAAATTGATTGAACTCAAGTGTTGCCTAGAGATTAGAGGATTTATAAGTCACATTGGATACAAATGATGAGTAATCAAAAGTTGAAAACTACTAAATGTAGGTTTTCTTAATTTGTTAGGAGTGTATTTGTAAACTTTTAAGGTATTTTTGTCATTTTTTAACTAATAGGGGTAATTAATTTTTTATAGGGTACCGGAGTAAGGAACCGGAATTTGCATTTTAGGTTCCAATTTCTTTTTTTGGGAACCTGCACTGTGCGGTTCCAGTTTCGGTTCTCCCAAAAAATGCAGGGTATCCGGAACCGTTCACCCCTACACTAACGTAAAAGAATAAATTAAGTGGCCTAAACCTAAAATAAAAATGTTTATTTGACTGATTATGAAATTTAACTTAAATGAATGATTGAATTCTTACCATGATTTCAATATCGTCGTACCTATTTATAACCCTTTTTTTTAAAGGAACCATGTACCTAAGGGCATTTCCAATGGGATACCAAATTAGTATAAAACACCAAAATGGTATCTAAATGTTGCTCCAATCCAACTCTAAAAGTCACACTAAATTGGTGTAACACTATTCATCCACACAAAAACACCAAATAATTTTTTCACTTTTCAATATAGTGACGTTTATATCCTTATTTTTGTTATTTAATTTTTTAAAATTTATATTTACGTTAATTTGATTATTATTTATATTAATATTTATAATAGTTATATAGTTCAAAAAATGATAAAAAATTAAAAACAAAACTTCATTACAATGCAAATATTAAACTTCAATAACTCTAAATAAATTAAATGTATGTTAAATTTAAATGTAAATGTTTACTTAATTTAATAAATGCTTAATTTACATAAATTAGTATAATATTCTAAGTTATTATTAGTAGTTAATTAATAAAATATATTATTCATAATATTTAATTAATATATATATATAAAAATAATTAGTGAAATAAATTAATTGTTGAGAATTAATAAAAAGAAAAATAAAGACAATATTCTAAATAATATTTTATTTGGTGTAATATTTAGTGCAATGGGTTGGAGAAGTAATAGTAAAATACCGTGAAAGTTGCACAAATTTAATGTTTGTGGTTGGAGACAGATGATAGATTACACAATATACTTTAGAAATAATCAAAAACCACCCTTTTCAAAACTATCAAATTTATATGATAAAATGAATTTTAATCCATTAGTTGATTTATAAAATTAGATGCTTAAAACGTTGGCGTTTGATTTTTAGATAACAATTTTGTATCATTTAGAAGATTGGACAATTCCGTTTTCAAAGGGTTTTTAAATATTTTCCTAAAACCGTAGTGGCGTTTAGTATTGCCTCTTCTCTTCAAGGGCCGAGGATAAAAGACCTTCAATCAATTGCAAGGGATTCTGGTGTCAAGTGTCAACTTCAAAATCATCTGGACTTAAATGTATTTTATTGTATCTCGAAGTTGAATATACCATAATAATGAGTGACAATTAAAAATCAAGTATTATAATTTATTATTGAATTTTTTTTAATAATGATGTAATAAATAATAATACCTACACAAAAAAGAAAAAAAAAACCCCAAAGTAGTTTGGTGGACCCTAATATAAATTCTTCTAAAATTGTTTAGCTTTTTTTTCTTTATTAATTATATTTTCTAGTTTCAACAAAGATGAATAACTTTAATGTTTATTTAAAAAAATTTTAACCCTCCCAAAAATTATTTTCTGATTCTGTTGCGGATAATATAAAAATAAAACTCTATGAATTTCAAAATTTTGAAACCATTAATTACAATATAATATTTCCAATAATTATATGGGTTGGCTAATTTATATAATTTTTATTTAAATTATCATATAATTAGAAAATTACAAGGAGCCACCCCTGAAGCTTAGCTAAGAAGAGATAACGTTAAGCACTGTAGTGTTCATTAATAATTAACAATTAAAATGAGGCTTAATTAAACGTCTTGTTACATCACTATCAAGAGGATATTCATAAATTCTTTAATTAAATCAATTCAATAATGCTAAATTCATAATTTAATTTTATAATTTTTTTTTATAATTTTTGATGCGACAGTTTTTAATTAGATAACCGAACCCATAATAAACAGTAAAACTTATTTCTAACTGGTCATTTATAAACTGCCAATAAAAGACGGTGAGAGAAGATTGTTCGATTTTATCGTCGCAGCATCACTCAAACAATTTTCATTCGATGATTAATTTCACGTCGCAACGTGGCAGAACGGAGTTTTCTGCACAAAGCATGTCCTTGGCTATGGGATTTGGTAGGGAGCACAAGGCGGGCATATAAACGTTTGATGTTAGAATGCATGAACATAAAGCCACCTAGCTCGGCTGTGACTCACCACCGACGTCACTTTATAATTATATCCGCCGTCCTTTCCTTTCCTCTCTGGCATTATAAGTTTATATCTCTCTCCTCCATTTTCAGCCTCTTCAGTTCAGACTGTTCAGTCACTTCATTTCCTCTCCCTTGAGCTCTCTGCTGGTAAAACCTCTCTTTCTTGAGAAAAAAGAATGCTTTTTTCGCTTGTAATATGCAAAATTTTTAACCTGCATTTTGCTCTCTTCTCTTCACTGTTTTTTTCTTCTGTAAAGGTTTCATTTTGTTGAACAAAGTTCTGAAATTTCTCTCGGTAAAGCTGGTTTTGTTTCTTTTGCGTTTACTTGCGTTTTAAGCTTTTTAGCCTTTTTATATGTTCTTCTTTGTTCTAGTTGGTTCAAATTTCCGCACTAGAAGAAGCTCTTTTTGGCATTTTCAAAGGTTTTTTTTTTTTTTTTTTTTTGGGTTTCATGAGTCATCGGGGGGGGGGGGGGGGGGGCAGTTCTGAAAGGCTGAGTCTTTTGCATTCTGTATAGACTGTACATTAGATTACTAATATGCTTTTGCATTTTTCTGAAATGGCGGCTTTCCTTTTTTACTTTCTCTATGCTCATATTACAAGTTACAGCCCTTTTAAGAAATTTTGTTTCTTTTTAAAAAAATCTCTATTCAAAACCTACCAAAAATAGAAAAAAAGGCAGCACCTTCGGTGTGTTATTTCTTACAGTAATACTATAATCTTACAAGAACTCTTAGGAGTGAAGTGTTAACAAATGAATGAAAGAGCTTTGTATGTAGATATTTTTAAGATTTTTTTTTTTAGCATTACTCTATTTATTATTTGTCATGAAGATCATTTTAAGATTTCTTTCTCGCATTACTCTATTTCTTATTTGTCACGCAGATATTTTTAAGATTTTTTTTTTCTAGCATTACTCTATTTCTCATTTGTCACCGAAGGATGCGCATAGGATCCTAACCGTTTATTTGTTATAAGTTAATATTAATCAATGGTTTGCCACATCATTCACTGGATTCGGAATGTAATTTTCAGTAACCCTATCATTTTCATTTTCCTTTTCCTAATCATGGTCTTGTCAAAACCTCTTCTCTAGAAATCAGAAAATCAGCGTATTTTGTTACTTTCTGTTGCTCTCTTTTTTTTTTTTGGTTCTTTGTCTGTTTTCTGAATTACTTGCAATAAAGACAAAATTTCTTCAGCCAGATTTGTATTTTTTATCTGTGATGGTGGTCCCATGATAATTGATGGAGTTGGCCAAAATATTGGAATGTTCTTTTTACAAATCCTTATTTATAAACATGCTAGGTCAGTTTCTGTTTAATTGCTATGTTTATATTGAATTCATTTTCAAGTATTCTTCACAACCTGAAGTAATTTTGATAACCTGAGGTGACACTCTTCTAAGTTTTAGATACACAAATGGTTTGTGTGACACACTTTTAAATTTTAGAAACACCCTAAATTTTGGGAATTTTGAGAACAACTATAATTTCTCCGCTAGAAAATTAAGGAATAACAGTAAAACATACATCCATTGTCTATGAACTACCAATTATAGTGCAGACAATGCTTTACTAATTATTCCAGGAAGTTATCTCTGTCTGTATCATGGGTGCATTGCTCAGTTATAAGTGTTATAGAAAAGATTTTGAATGGAACTGCACTGTTTATAGAAATATCAATGTATATTCTGGCCTAGATGTACCTGTTCATGTTCATCTATTTTACTGGTGCTTGGTTCTCTTGTGTTGTATGTTTTACTTAAAAGGTGCTACTCCATTGTTTGTATTACTTGCTGTCATTAACGTTAAAATGCTGAAGCTTTCTGTGGATCATCTGGTTCTATACATGGAACATCTTGGGAATAACCTTTGTTACATCATTGTTTCAATTTTTTGGGTGTTTGTATTTATAAATACAATATATATGCCTGTGTTAATCCACCCATGCATTAATATTCCAGAAGAAATCATGCTCCAAATTGTACCTGTTATTAGTGCTTGTACCTGTGTCACTAGTTTACTGCAGGACTATTGCAGCTCCCATTACTACTTCATATGCTCACCTTGCAGAGTGCTCTTACCTTGCACTTGTTTTTCTTATTGGCATTATGAAGCTTTGATTTCTTTTTTCTTGACCTTTTTGTTGTGTAACAATCTTAGTGATCTTTTTACTGATTTCAAGTGTGAATTCATTTCTTTAATCATTGATTTTATGGCTAGTGGCTTTTTGATGTCCATCAGTATATTAGTAGTAATATCTTACATCAAACAGACTAATGTATCTTTCTGTTCTAATTTATTTTCTTCTTTTCTGCTGTTCAGATTATAATGGATTCTCCTATAGATCCAAAGGCTCTGCCTGCACCTCCACCTGCACCTCCGCCTGCACCTCCACCTGAGATCCCTCTAAATATAGAACGTGAGGAACTTAAACCAGAACCTGGTCCTGAGGAGAATAAAAAGATTTTGAAGCCTAAACGTGTCCCTATGACTAGGCGTGGTGCTGGTACTAAAGGACAAAGATTACCTCTTCTTTGTAATCATTTCAAAGCCAATATTGCTGGTGCTAGTGGCCACTTTTATGAGTACAGTGTAAGCTAATCTGTGTTTCGAATGCCCTTTTGAGATTTTGGGATGCTGAATTTTTTTTTTCTTCATTGATATACGTTGCCTTATTTTATGGGGATGGTCATCCTTTTGAAACAAAGGGAATTGGAAGAAGGGTAATTGATAAAGTTCAGGAGACTTATAACAAAGATCTTGCTGGGAAATACTTTGCTTATGATGGAGAAAAGAGTTTATTTACATTTGGTGCCCTCCCAAACAACAAAATGGCATTCTCTGTTTTACTTGACAATCTCTCATTGAATAGGTAAGTTGTGTGAATTTACTTTATATCATACAGCAAAATTCTCTGTTTTGCTTTATAAGCAAGAATTTACTTTTCATGAGCTGTCCCATAAGATGGCGTTGGATAATAACTGGGTGAGATATTTTTCTCCAGAACTACTAGAAATGATAGTCCTGGTTGCAATGGGAGTCCTAATGATAGTGATAGGAAGAGAAGGTGAGTATCACAGTCCAAAACATTTAAAGTAGAGATCAGCTTTGCTGCCAAAATCCCTATGACAGCAATTGCAGCTGCTTTACGTGGGCAAGAGTCAGAAAATTCCCAAGAGGTGCTAAGGGTCTTAGACATCGTCTTAAGACAGCATGCAGCCAAACAGTGAGTGTTAGTTTATCAATTAATCTCTTCTTAGCTTAATCGTTTATCTATTAATTGTTTTTAAGCTTGATTTATTATCGCATTATCTCACTACGCTTTCATCTCTTCTTACAGAGGCTGCCTTCTCGTACGCCAGTCATTCTTTCATAATGACTAACAATTTCACAGGCTTGGGTGGTGGTATTCTTGGTTGCAGGGGCTTTCATACAAGTTTCCAAACCACGCAAGGTGGATTATCGCTAAATGTTGGTAAGTTATAATTTTCTTCTTCTTTTAAGTGTTACATTTCAAAATTTTTGAGTTTCTTTTGCCTATGAGAAAGTACTAGAGGAATAAATGTGTGATAATGAAAATAGTTTTTCTTAGAATATTGTCCTTTCTTTTCCAAGAACCAAACTGAGGGTTACTCCATCCTTCTCTGTTGCTTGTCCTTATGATGAATGACAGATGGAACAACTACAACAGTAGTTCAGCCTGGGCCACTAATTGATTTTCTCATTGCCAACCAAAATGTGAAAGATCCATATCAGCTTGACTGGGCCAAGGTACATAATTATGTGCTCAACCTTTTACATTGTGATGGTAGTCATTTTAACTATCATAAAGCTTGTTGCATAATTTCATTGACAGGTTAAACTTTTGATCAGAAATTTGAGGATAACAGTTGGGCCCAACAATTAAGAATATAGAATCACTGGACTGAGTGATAATAATTGCAAAGACCAGATGTAAATCATCATAACACTCTTTTATGAGTTGCTGGCTTCAATGCTGATAATATTTGCTTTTTCCTTCAAGTTCTCAATTGTTTTTCGTATAGATTGATTAAGACAGCCTTTTCTTTTTGTAGGTTCTCACTGAAATCAAAAGTAAATGGTGATAATGAAGGTGTTGATATAACGGTTTTTGATTATTTTGTTAATCATCATGGCATAAATTTACGCTATTCTGGAGACTTGCCCTGTATCAATGTTGGCAGACCAAAGTGGCCTACTTACATTCCCGTTGAGGTGACTTATTTTTTCTTTTGTTAAAGATTGGCTGTCCATCTTTTTCCTTGCCCTTTCTTGCTGGTAAATATAGTGATAAGCTTGTTGCTGCTTCATCCTTTTTTTTTTTTTTTCTAACTCTAGCTCTGCATGCTGCTTCCCTTACAATGCTATACAAAGGCATTAACTGTTTCCCAAAGATCTTCCCTAGTGGAAAAATCACGACAGAAGCCCCAAGAAAAGATAAAGATCTTAACTGAAGTAGGTTCCCGCCCATTAGTTTTGTCAAAATGCTGTTTTTCTTTTCTTTTCTTTTTTATTTATTTTTATGTGGTATTCAATGTGGCTTGCTTGGCCAGGTGCTGAAAGGCAACAAATATGATTCTGAACCAATGCTGCGTTCTTGTGGCATTTCAATCAACTCGCATTTTACTCAAGTTGAAGGCCGCATTTTATCTGCCCCAAGGGTAGAGCATATCAACTCATTTTTATTATTTTACCTGCTTTGGCGGGCCTTTGATAATTCCCAGCATCTGAATATTTTCTTTAGCCTTATATTGAGCTCTGTATTTCTTGAACGTTTATATTCTTTATGACAGTTGAAGGCAGGAAATGGGGAGGATGTCATTCCTAGAAATGGGCGGTGGAGCTTTAACAATAAGGTGGTGCTTCTTTTTCTGTCATGCTTAAAAAGATAAATCATTAAGTTAGCGATTATAATTATTAATACTTTTTTTTTCTTTTTAGAAATTTGTACAACCTGCTGCTAAAATTGATCGCTGGGCGGTGGTAAACTTTTCTGCTTGTTGTGATATACGCAGCCTTTGCAGAGATTTGGCAAAATTTGGAGAAATGAAAGGTATTGTGAGTTCCATTAGTATCATATGCACTGCATTGTGGAAGATCTTATTATAGTGATTAATCAATTTTTGCAATCTGTAATCCTTAAGTCTTCCGGTGGATTTTTTGAGGAGAACCCTCAGCTTCACCACCTCTTGTTTGGATAGAAAAGATGTTTGAACAGATAAAGCCAAAGTTTGCCGGTGGTCCTCCTCACTTCCTTCTATGCCTTCTCTCTGATCGGAAGAATTCTGAAATTTATGGTTAGGCCTATTGATATTAACTAATATCAAATGTAATCCATGGAGTTATTTCTGTGAGTTAAGTGGCTGATAAATTGGTAAATTTAATCTCTAAGGTTGCTGGAAAAAAAGAATCTTGTGGAATTCGGAATTTTCAATCAATGCCTATCACCAAACAGAGTTAATGAGCAGTATCTTACAAATTTGCTCTTGAAGATAAATGCCAAGGTAAGCTGTTTCTGACAGATATATACTTTTTGAATTATTTCTGTATTATATTGATATTATTGCACCTGTAGTTAGTTATTTAATTAATTTTGCAACGGTTTAGTCAGCTGTCCATTTACGTCTTTCTCCTTTTTCAATGCTGATGTACAGCTTGGTGGATTGAATTCAATGTTAGCTATTGAGCAGTCGAGAAGTCTCCCTTTGGTTTCTAAGGTTCCCACAATTATTTTTGGGATGGATGTCTCACATGGTTCCCTAGGCCACTCTGATGTGCCATCTATAGCTGCAGTAAGATGAATTTGTTTCAACTCTTGTGTTTATCATATAGATGTTGAGTTTGTTTAGCTTGTGGAATTTTATGTTGCCTTCCATGTTAGTGCAGTTATCATTAACTCTTACTAAAAGATTCATAGCTTGCTGCTATCTTTTTCTTTTGAATTTCTTAGGTAGTCAGCTCTAGGGATTGGCCGTTACTTTCTCGATATAGAGCTTCTGTTTGAAGCCAGTCACTGAAGCTTGAGATGATTGGTTCCCTATTTAAGCCCCATCCAGAAAAGGGTGATGCTGGGGTAGTCAGGTGCAATATTTCTATCTCATTTTGTGGCTTAAAATTGATATTGTTACTTTAGTTCATTTAATTGCATCAGCTAAATTTGTGCTGCTGAGTTTCTATTGTATATTTAAAGCCCTATATATTTAAGGCGTTGGTATCCATTCAATTTCAGAGAGCTGTTGCTTGACCTCTATCAGAGTTCAGGACAAGTGAAACCTCCCCAGATAATCATATTCAGGTCTTCGAGATTAAATTTTTTATTTTTATTTTTTCATTTCCGTTTGCTTTTATGGTTTTTTCTAGTAGTCATTAAAAGCAGCTGCACCAGCAATTTCCTTGGACTGGTTAAGATGTCAACTTTGGAAGCAAGAATTATAGGTCTAGTGTCAGCTAGACATGGCAAAAACCTTTTTTTTTTTTTTTTCTTTTGATTTCTCGTGTAAGTACAAGCAATAGCATTATATTTGGGGTAAAAATAGTGTGGTTTGTAGTATCTCATCATAACTGAATCTTTTCAATAGGCTTTACGTAAGAGTTGAAACCTCTCCATATTCTTGTATATAGCATTCGAGTGAGTCTGCTGTTAGTGGTTAAGGAAAATTAGCTGGCTGCAATCCTGAATTATTTAACTGACCATGTCTCACTTGCATTCTCCATTGTAAAACATAGATTTGTGTCTTTTTATGTCAAAGACAAAATCAATAATCTCACTACCAGTGAACATCCTTAAAGTCAGACTTGAACAGTTAAGTTAGACAAGAAGTGCATTTTGCTGACCACAGTTAAAATTACCTGGATTTGATTGCACCACTTCTCTTTTAAACATTATTTTGCACCATAATTGTTCAGTTATCAGAACTTTGGGTGCAGTTTCAGTTTTCAGCCACTTAAATCTTTTCATATGATATACCTGATGATTTGACTTGACTAAGAGCTTGTTTCATACGTTGTTTTTCATCTTTCAAAGTGTGCCTTCTCTTCTTTTACTTTCTTTGGCTGCTTGTTTTATCATCGTTTAATTATTGCTTGTTTTATCATCGTTTAATTATTGCTTGTTTTATCATCGTTTAAATATTGCTTGTTTTTGTTGAAACAAGGGATGGAGTAAGCGAGTCTCAGTTTAATCAAGTACTTAACATTGAGCTAGAGCAAATCATCAAGGTTGCTTTTCTTTTGTTCCTTTCTATAATGATAGTTTGTTGACATCCGCCTGAAGTTTAGCTAAAATACTGGTAGATCCTGCTGGTCCAAAACTCATTAGAAAACTCTATTGAAATTCTGAAAATGTCTTGAGCTTCCTCTCAAGTTTCAATAAGTTTGTCAGAGGTCTTTTCCTCTGCCAGGGTTGTTACTAATGAAGAACTAGATCAGTGAGATCTACCCATACTTTTGCCTAATCCTAAGGGAAATTAATAAAATATCTGGAATAATTACCAGATGTTGAATTTTGATCCGAAAAATACTTTTCAAAAGCTTCTATATAATTTGAAACTCTTGGATATGGCTAGGATACATTTTCCAAAAACTTGCAACTAACTAATTTATTGACTATGTCTGGGAATTCTCAAACACACCTCTTCTGTCTCTCTATCTATTTTGGTAATCAGAGGGGTTCTAGTATTATTGAGTTAAAGAATAGAAGTTTTATATTAAGTTAAATAATTAAAGTTTATTTCCCTATGTTCAACAGGCCTGCAAGTTCCTTGATGAAAGTTGGTCTCCCAAGTTTACTGTAATTGTTGCACTAAAAAATCATAACACGAAACTTTTCCAAGCTAGATCACTAGACAATGTTCCTCCAGGTTGGCATATTTATAGTTTTTGATAGAGAAAAAGGAAGTTGAACCGTATATTTTGGTGAAATTTCTTATTCTTCTTCCCTGCAGGAACGGTTGTTAATAACAGCGTTTGTCACCCGACAAGGAATGATTTCTACATGTGTGCTCATGCTGGGATGATGGTAAGTTTTAATCCTAAGCTAAATGTTAGCTTCAATTCCACATGCAAATTTTTATTTTTATTGTAATTATGTCTACAGTATATGAGTGTATTATTGATATATTGCTGGTTTTCACAGTGTTTTTTTTTTTTTTTTTTAAAATAATTCTCTTGTAAATTTGTAAAATATTTGGTAAGTAATGGTGTGTTCAATATCAATTTTGAATCCATTTTTAAAAGCAAAAACACCAAATACAATAAAGAACGGTGCCCCTAATGGCTCTCATAATTATTTGTAACTTTAATGTAAGAGACGGAAAATGTCACTTTCCTCTGCAAGTAACTGGATTCCAGTGGTCAAAAAATGTTAACAGCTAAAACACTTTAAGGAAAGATGCTTCAATTATTTTAGTTTACATATTTTATAGTTAATCTATAGATAAATGCATGGATCAAAGGCTCTGAAGAAACAATTGAAAACTTTCCATTATTTGTTTGTGAAGAATGTTATGTTTTATGTCAAACGTAATTCTGTGAACATTTCTATCAATGCTGATATTTCAATCCTTTACCATCATCAGATGTGTCAGATTATTTGGGAAAGTGGACCCTGTTACTGTTATGTCATTTTCTTTGGATTCTATTACCTTAAGCTGAGCATCTTGGACATTGCTGCCATATCATACGCACGACTTGCTTTTTGTTTTATCTGTCAGGGCACAACAAGGCCATCAAACTACCATATTCTTTTAGATGAGAACGGTTTTTCAGTTGATGAATTACAGGAATTAGTTCATTCTCTTTGCTATGTGTGAGTTAATTTCGGCCATGCTCCAATTTCTGAAGGTGTTTTTGCTGCAGTCAATGTTCTAATTTATCTGAATTTTCCAGTTACCAGAGAAGCACAACTGCAATATCTATTGGTACAGCCTCTTGTCCTTGGCGTTTTAAATGTTGGAAGTTGGATTTAAAGTACAAACTGATTGAAAACTATAAGTTCATAGACTACTTAGCAATATTGGTCAAAACTTAGTATAACATTTTTAGACTTCACCTAGCATATGTTGACGCTTGTATTGTTATTCTTGCTGTTGCTCCCATCTGCTACGCCCACTTGGCAGCTTCTCAGGTTTCGCAATTCATGAAGTTTGATGAGACGTTGGATACATCTTTGAGTCACGGAGGTCTTACTGCTCCTGGATCTTCCCCAGTACCTGAGCTGCCAGTGTTGCCCGACAATGTATGCAGGTCCATGTTTTTCTGGCTGAATATGGTGAAACGCAAACGGGACTAACATCATAGTTAGGCTTTTACCATGTTAATTTTGGAACAACAGAATGTATTTTGAAATTCTAAGCAGTGGTATATTTATCTATGGCATTATTATGCTTATGCTGACAATAGACTTAAACATAAATATATGTTTGGTACATGTTGAATGTGTAATTATCCAGGTGTTTAATTATATGTACAAGTAGAAAGACGTGCTAATGTATTTCCAGTAAAACTCGGTTTATTTATGACGTAACTTCGTAACTGATTGGGCAAAACAGCATGTTCGTCCTGTGTTTAATTACGGATGACGATAGATGATGAGGAGTAATATTACCAGTAAATATTATATTTACAAACTTTTTTTACTAATTTTTTTCATAAATGTGATGTGTCAGCTCGTGATTGGTCAGTTTGTAATAGATTTTATTTGCCTAACAATGAGTTTTGCTATCCAAATACGTGTTAATCAATTGTGAGTTGTTACGTTAGTATTTGTGAGAGAAGCTTGTGAGAAGTGTTTGACAACTTATATATATATACACGAAATTAATATCAATAATGCTACGGACTTTGGAACTCTACATCGAAATCTTACACCGACTTATGTGTCCCGTGACACACCAGACACGTTTCACGTTCAAAATGTTTTTTTTAGTGAACGGTCGTTGATCAACTATGGACGGTCGTTCATTTACATGGACTCTTGTCTATATTATATGGACGAGAGTCCATTTACTATGGACGGGCGTCCCCATTTAAAGGACGCCCGTTCATCAGTAAATAGAATAAATAATATAAACAAAAATAATGGATGACCGTTCATTTAGGGACGACCGTCCACATATAATGGACGCCCGTCCAATCTTTATATAATAAAAATTTTATAAACAAAATTAATGGATGGACATTCATATGTTAATGGATGACTCTCTATTATCAATGGTTTTAAAAAATTAAAAAAAATTTAGGGACGCCTGTTCATCAGTTATGGACGACCATCCCTGAATTTTGGACGGGCGTCCGCAAATGAGGGACGCCCGTCCATAATGTAAATATATATAAAAAAAAAAACTTTGGACGTCAGTCCCTAACTTGTGGACGGGCGTCCGTAAGGAATGGATGCCCGTCCATAAGGAATGGACGGCCGTCCCTTATGTAAAGGACAGTCGTCCACATAATAAGGACGACCGTCCATAATATAATAAAATGTTATTTTAATTAACTTTCTTTTTATTTGCAAAAAACATTAGCTTCTCCAATACGGCTTCTAAAAAAACCAGCGCCAAAATTCTTCGAGTGAAAGAAAAAAGAAAAAACTTCATTTTATACCTATCGCCGCCTTTTGCTTCATCGTTCCCGTCTGTTCTTCGTGTCTGCATTCTTCTCGAGTTTCTTTCTCAACAACCCTTTCTTCCTCAACAACCAGCTACCGTGACAAGAACGAAAGCCATAAATTTTTCGTAAAACAATTGTTTACCGTGGAAAGGGGGACAAGAAGATCAAAATTTCTCTAGATTAAGAAGATTTGTTGAGGTTGTTAAGTGGTTTTTATTTAACTTATGCATTTATTTAGTTTTGTATTTTATTTTGCATTGAATATATGTTACAATAGAAAAAAACTGATAGAGAATATTTGTTGGTGATTGTTGTGAATCAGAATCGTGAACGCGAACACTAGTATTGATTTTGCATTAAATTACAGAATATGGAAGAGTCCAGTTTGCCTCATTTCAATGATGTTGAGGTAAATTGTGCTCGAAACCTTAACTTTTTCGTTAACATGATTTTAAATTTATTGTATCGTATTGTTTCTTTTGATGTGTTGTATTAATACATTCTAATTTTGTCTATTATAAAACTATTAAATGATCAGGAAAATGAACGTGATGAATTAGAAGATATGGGATGTGCAGAGGAAGAAGTGGAGCCTTATATTGGAATGGTGTTTGATTCAGTTGATAGTCTGGTGAAGTATTACAAACGGTATGGTAACAAAATGAGATTTGAAGCAATGATACGTACGTCAAAGAAAGGCGATGATGGAGAAACGAGATATGTGATAGTGGCATGTTCTTGTTATTTGAAGGAGAGATGTAAGTCTAGAAATACCTTGAAAAAGCAACTTGTTGCCAAAATAGATTGTAAGAGTCGGATTAGTGCAGCTTTGAATGGTGAATGCAAATGGAAAATTAAATCAGTTGTATTTGAACATAACCATGATCTTACAAGTCCGACAAACAGAAGATATTTCAAGGTTAACCGAACGATACAATCTTATATGAAAATGCGACTTGAAGTTAATGATGTGGCTGGGATTAGACTGTGTAAAAAATTTCAGTCATGTTCAGTTGAGGCAGGAGGTGTAGAGAATTTGATGTTTTTACAAAAAGATTGTAGGAACTACATTGAAAAAGTGAGAAGGCTACGACTTGGAGTTGGAGATGCTTCGGCAGTACTCGAGTATTTTATGAAAATGCAAAAAGGAGAATTTAAATTTCTGGTAAATGATTGATGTAGATGAAGAGAGACGATTACATAATGTGCCATGGGTTGATGCTAGATGTAGGGCTGCATATAAAGAATTCGGTGATGTTGTCACCTACGACACAACGTATTTGATGAACAAGTATGATATGTCATTTGCTGCTTTTATGGGGTTGATCATCATGGACATTCGACGTTGTTAGGTTGTGGGTTAAATTCTCATGAGGACACTGAGACATTTGTATGACTATTTCGTTCTTGGCTTGAATGCATGGATGTTGCTCCTAATGGAATTATCACTGATCAAGATAAGGCCATGCAAAATTCAATTGAGATTGTTTTCCCTGGTACAAGATATAGGTGGTGTTTGTGACATATAATGAAGAAATTGCTTGAAAAGTTAAGAAGGTATAAGGAATATGAAACTATAAAGTTTAAGTTGCAAAATATTGTGTATGATTTCTTTACGCGTGAAGAGTTTGAAGAACGGTGGAACCAATTTGTCGATGTGCACAACCTTCACGAGAATGCATACTTATGTGGATTGTACAAAGAAAGAGTACGATGGGTGCCTGCATTTCTTAAAGATACTTTTTGGGCAGGTATGTCTAGTACTCAACATAGTGAAAGTATGCATGCATTTTTTGATGGATATGTAAATTCCAAAACTACTTTTAAACAATTTGTGGAACAATATGAAAATGCATTGCGAGATAAAGTGGAAAAAGAAAGGGAGGCTGATTTTAGATCTTTCAAATCTTGGATAGCATAACTAATTACCCTATTGAGAAACAATTTCAAAGTACATACACAACTGCAAAGTTTAAAGAGTTTCAAGAAGAGATTGTGGGGAAGATTTATTGTGAATTATCTTTTCTGAATAAATGTGATTCATACGAGGAGTATCAAGTTTTGGAAGATGTTTGGTTTAGAGATAGTAGTCATCGTGTTCCGTTTGCGGTATACTTTGAAGAAAGTTCGTGTGATATTCGTTGTACTTGCCATTTGTTTGACTTCAGGGGGATTTTATGCAGACATGTCATTATGGTGTTGATTCATAAAAGGGTTTCACACGTTCCACAAAAGTACATTTTACGGCGTTGGAGGAAAAATATAAACAGATGTCATACGAAAATTAAGGTGAGTTATAATAGGTGGGGCACCAACATTAAAGGATAACGTTTTGATAAGTTGTCTAATTTAATGATGATAGTAGCTGATATGGCATCAAACAATAAGGAAGATTATAATATGTTGATGGAGTTTATGATTGACATGAGGAAAAAATTGGAGCAAAAGGAAAGTGAGGGAGGGCTTGGTACAAAAGTGAACATCTCTTCCACAACCGGTTTAAGTAGTCAAGATGGGGAAAGTCCTCCGAAAGAGGGGAATAGTCTAATTATTAGTCCACAGACAGTTCGTAGCAAAGGTTGTCCTCCACGTAGAAGAAAACAATTGAAGGTTGAAGAAATTGTACGTAGGGTTGAAAAGAAAAAATTACAAAAATAAAGAATTGGTATGAGTTATACACCTATTCTTACATGATATTTCTTTTTTGAAACATTATTTACTTATTTGAAGTTTAGAATAATATGGACTTGATTATTAATGTGTTATGCTACTTTTTAGGAAAATGATCATCAGTAGAGTGACAAAAGGAACAGTTTCTTTCATCTACTTCCATGACTGATGCGGAAACTCAAGTGTTGTCGAATGATGTTGTTACTACCCAGGTATGTGTTATTTATGTTGTATAATTGTAATTGGCTTAAGTTTTCTATAACGTGTGCTAAATTGTGGTTGTTAAACAATGACAGATGTCCACTGGTTCGGTTCAAAATCTTACAGGACAAAGTAATTTCTATACTGGACAGGAGTTTGTAAATGATGAACATGTCTTGTTGGGAGATGTTTAATATTGTTGACAGGTTGAAGCATATAGAATTGTATTTGGTAGAAATCATTCATGCTTTGGTTAATTTCTGCCGAATACAGTTGAGTTGTATGCTGATTCAGTTGTTTTGTTTTTAGTATTTTCGTCATTGGTTGTGTATGAGTAGGCTATCTGCTGTAGGGTTGTGAATTCATGATAATGACCTTAATGTAACTTATTATGAATGTTTTTAGTATATATTATTGTCACATTGCAGACTTCGGTTATAGATGGAATTTTGGACATGCATTTCATTTGAGATTTGAATTTTGATGTCTTTGGGTATGTCTAGTATTACATATACATATGCATTCAAAAGAGTAGTTGAGATATGTATAAACAAAAGGTAAATCTATTTATAAACAAAAGACAATCTTTATCAAGAACATTTGCTGAAATCAATCTATTTATAAACAAAAGACATATATAATCTTCGTACATAAAGCTTAGTATTTGAAGTACACATAATCATAATTAACATTCATAGTGCGTTCCCCAAGAATGTTGACAAGGAGGAGGCTATTGAGAAATTCTTCATCATGGTGCAGGTGGTGGAGGTTGACTGGAGGAGGACGAGGCTGTTGAGAAGTTCTTCATCATGTTGAAAATCTCTGTCATGCGTTCTCCAATGATGTCAACTGTTTCTTCTATTCTTGATGCAAACGAGTTGAAATCACTTTGCAATTGATCATGTTGTTCTTGCATTTGCCTCTCAATATGTGAAAAACGCTCATCTTGAAACTTTTCCATCCGCTCA